GGCCATGCTGCACCGTCTGCCTCCAGGCTGAACGCTCAGATGCCAAGGTTTCCGATCTGTTGAGGTCCATTCCTAAGGCCTTCAGATTCCGCTTGCAGATATCCTCATATCGCAGCTGTGGTCTCCCTCTGGGGCACTTTCCCTGCACTACTTCTCCATACAAGATATCTACACACACATATACAGTATATATTGTTCATATTTTCATTGTACATTATACATATTCAGTATATATGTGTGTGTGTGTGTGTGTGTGTGTGTGTGTGTATAAGTATGTACACACTCTCTGTGTATAATATACTGAAGAGGCTCACTAGAGTACTGTATTTTTCCGTGTATAAGATGCCATCATGTATAAGATTGCCCCCCCCCCCAACTTTTCTAATCCAAAATTAAGAAATCTAAGTGGGGCTTAGCAAGTGTAGGGTGAAAGGGATAAAAGCACTGCAAGATTGTTTTGACCCCTGCTTTCTCCCTTCGTGCTAAGCCCTGCAGAGCTTAGCAAAAGGAGGGGGAAAGAGATCAAAGCCATCCCGCGACTGCACAATCGTTTTGATCCCTTTCCCCCTTATACATCCACGGGATTGCTTTGATCCTTTCCCCCTTCCTTTTGCTAAGCCGCATGGGACTTAGCAAGCAGAGGGTAAAGCAGGGATCAAAGCTATCATGCAGTGCTTTGATCCCTGCTTTTCTTTTGCTAAGGCTTAGCAAGTAGAGGGGAAAGAAGGAATCAAAGCCCTGCAGGATCACTTTCATCCATGCTTTCCCCTCCACTTATTTTTGTTCTCTCCTCAGCTTGCTCCCGTGTATAAGACGACCCTCAATTTTTAAAGATTTTAGACAAAAGTATAGTCTTATACATGGAAAAATGCTGTATATATAACTTGTTCTTCATTTTCGAAGACCATTTCCATAAGTTTTGCCACTTAGAGAAAAAAGAAGTGAGCACTTCAGGTTTAACAGTATCACATTGATGGATTAACTAGCACAATCTGAACCTGTAAGATATGAGAACAATGGGGGAATTAAGCTGATCCTACGCTCAATGGGCTGTTGAGATGTTATATCCTTAATTTCTCATTTCTCTCTTCCTTTCTGCATCCTTGATTCCTTTTATGTCAACATTTTAGCCCCTTGTTTGATGTTTCAGATTTGAGTGAGAACTTTCCAATTTACATGGTCAATATTAAATGCGCTCAATGTACATTACTGCACAACACACATCATAGTCAAGAGCCCTGCTGAGAATCGGAAGAAAAACCACACCAGGCATCACTTCAGGGGATCACCAGCAGATGGCGCCCGGATGAGCTCTGCAAACATTATTTCCAAGCATGTCTGTATCCATGATATTCACCAGGGCAGTTTGTGATGCATTGAAAACAAACACACCCTTAGTCATAGAAAATGGGTTATAACTGTTTCAGATGAGTGTGTGTTTAATCTTAGATACTGGTAGGTAACTACCATAGAACATACAGAACAGAGTAAGTGTAGTTATATCTAGTCAAATATGCATTTGTATATTTGTTTACTTATTTTTACCATTTTTAAAAATCCTGCTCTTCACCCTACAAGATTTAAGGGTGCTGCAGAAAATATAACAGAAGCAGCAGAACCATAAAACTAGGCAGAGGCAACTAATCCAATTCAAAATACCTGGGTAAATAAATAAAAGATGTATTCAAATGGCTCAAATAATACTGTACTGCTGGTATCAGTCAAATTTACTGCATATGGGTGCACTAATATCAGAGCACCACCACGAAAAAGGCCCAGTCCTTAATGCAAATATAATGTACTTCATCAAAAGCCTTATCTGAAGATCATATATAGCTGCATGGAATGGGAAGAGATGGTGCATTCATTTATTTGTTTGTTTAAAATATTTTTACTCCACTTTCTCCTTAAAAGGACCCAAGGTGGGGTCTTTCTTTCTTTCTTTTTCTTCCCACATTTATAACCCATCCTACATCACAATTTCTTTCTTTCTTTCTTTTTCTTCCTACATTCATAACCCATCCTACATCACAAGATCAAAACAATTTTAAAACATAAAATATTTAAAACAATTTAAAATCAAATGACACAAAATAAAAACACTCAAACATTAAAATACACTGTACTGAAACTTGGGCGGGCTTTAGGTATTTGGGCCTCAAGCTATTGGATAATCTCCAGTATGTATTCGCGAAGGCTTTCATGGCCGGGATCTAATGGTTGTTGTGGGTTTTTCGGGTTCTTTGGCCG